CCACCAGGTCGGGCTGTGATGTTTTTGGGGTGCAGTGTCCCCTCGGGCCAGCACAGGGGGCGGTGAGGTTCTGGCGGAGGCAGAGCGGGCTCAGCCCGTGCCCCAGTTCCAGCGAGGCTCTGGTTTCCAGTTGTGTGGCTCCATCACGCTCCGGCCCCGCAGAGGAGGAAGGGTTTGTGGGGACGGGGCTGTCCCTGCAGCAGGGTGGCCCCCCGGGACCTGCAGTGACAGTGCTGTGTGCTGGCAGAGAACACAGGGACTGTCCCTGGCAGGGACTGGCCTGGGGGCTCCTGCACCCCCATTTCCCTGCATCAGGCACAGAAACATCCCCACTGCGGGGCTGGGGACAGACAGCATCCCGGAGACAGTGCCAGCACCCCGGGGGGACATGGTCCTTGGTCCTGGCGTGAGGAAGGTGAGGGTGGTGTGAGCCATGGCCCAGGGAAGGGATCCCGGGGAGCTCGGCCACTCCAGCACCCAGCAATAGGAACCGCTGTGCCCAAGCTCCCCCTGGGGTAAATAACCTCCATCAAACAGCCACAACAGAGTGTTTGAACCTGACACTTTCCGCTGCTGCCCTGCGCTTCGGGGATGGTGCAGGGGAAATGGGCCAGAGCATCAGAAATTGGTCAGAGCATCCACACTTTGGGATAAAGCACAAGCTGCTTCCTAGGGATGGGAACCAGTGAGAGTGGGGCCCATCCCTCTCCTGTCCCCATCACAGCTCCCCGTGCCAGCGGTGTTTGGGCTCCTCAGGCTCAGCTCCCTGTGTGTGGGTTATCCCCCCGTGTCCCCCTAAACGTGGGCCCTGCCCCGGGGCGGCTCTGGGCTCACCCTGTCAGCCTGCTGCTAAATGAGTCCCCATCAAGTTAATTGCCCAGCCGCTCCAAGGCTGAGAGGAAACGCTCAAGCTGTCGCTCGCAGGCGCTCAGCGATGTCCCCCCGCCCGCTAAAGGCAATTCCAGCTGTCCAAACCCAGGGAAGATGGATTCTCCAGCTTGGGACAGCACCAGGAAGGGACAGCTGATGACAGTGGCCCCGCACAGGCTGGGACCCTGAGCAAAGACAGAGCTTTTCCTTGTTGTGGTGCTGAAAGGGCTGAATGTGCCTGTGAGAACCTTCCTGGAATAAAGTCCACTTTATTCCTGGAATAAATCCTGGAATCCTGCCTCTCCTTGGCTGCTGGGGCAGGAGGTTCAAGGAGAACTCTGAGGTCCTGCAGCGCCAAAGCCCCTCGGTACATTGCCAGCTCCTGCTGGAATAAACACCCAGAGAGGTCTCTGAGAGCTGACCAGCTTCTCCTTGGCCTTGCAGTGACGGGGAGCCCCGGCGGGGAAATGCATCCTGAATGGGGCTGAGGCCCCCTGCCCGGGAATATGCAGCCTCGGCACCGCGGGGGCAGCACCGGGGCCGGAGCGCGGCGGGATGGTGGCAACCTTCAAGATCGCCGTGCTGGGAGCGCAGGGCGTGGGCAAGAGCGCCATAGTCCGGCAGTTCCTGTACAACGAGTTCAGCGAGGTGTGCGTGCCCACCACGGCCCGCCGCGTCTACCTGCCCGCCGTGGTCATGAACGGCCACGTGCACGACCTGCAGATCATGGACTTTCCCCCCATCACCGCCTTCCCTGTCAACACCCTGCAGGTACGGGGGCACCCCAGGGCTCCTCCGCCTCTGCGGGTCTGGGTGAACCCCCCTGTGGTGGGGTTTTGCTGTTGGAATCTGTGGGGTTGCGGCTCTGCCTTTTTGGGGGGTTTGTCCCTCTCTCCATGTCAGCATTTGGTTGCTAAATGAGGGCTTGTGTCCTCATGGATCCCGCTGAGCAGGTTCAGGATAAAGTGTGCTCTAAAGTTTGGTGGCAGCAAACACAAGAGAGGTGGCATGCCACTCCAAGGATGTGGCTTGGCATTGCCCACAGCTGGGATCCAGCTGGGGTCCTGGAGCACTGGGATCCAGTCCTTGACTAAGCCATAGCAAATCTAGGATTGGTAAATCCTGTGGTCATACAGGAGACCCAAATTAACTTTATAACGGCGTAAAGAGTGCTCACGTGCTATCCAAGTAACTAAGGTCAAAAAGCAACTGAGCTGTCACAAGCCCAAGATGCCAATAAGGCCCCTCCCCATCAAGGAAGATCTCAGAACAATGATTAATTGAACTCCACAAAAGCCAGAGCCCAAACTGGGATTAGATACCCCACTATGGCTGACCCAGTGTCAGAGCCAACAGCAGAACATGTGGGTGACGCCAGGGGTTCCTGGAGCCCTGATGCACCCACTGCCCAAGCCAGGCAGGGCCTGTCCCCTCCTGGGAGTGGCCATTGTCCCCTCCATCATTGCCTGGGCTTGTTCTGGAGCTCTGAACCCACCAGCTCCTCCTCCAACCCCTCAGGTGCTTCCAAACCCCCCAAAAAGCAGTGTGGGGTTGGAAAGCATTGCCACCAGTGCCAACAACTTCTGGGTGGAGTTAATGGAGAAAAGGAGATGTTAAGCTCATGCCATAGCCCCAGGGGCACAGGTTGTGCCAGCACTGAGGGGAAAGGAGCTGCAGGTTCCCAGCTGTGGCTACAGTGCCACCAGTGGGGCCACAATTAGTCACAGTGTCCCGGTCCCCAGCAGGGCCAGCGTCACAGGGGCCATGTAGTGCTCCAAGAGCACCTGTACCATCAGGCAGGAGGTGAAATGAGCACTCCAGGGGCGAGGAGAAGGTTTAAAAATTAATGGGTGAGCGCAGGGAAGGAAAGGTCAGCGTGAGAAAGAGCCCGAAATAGCAAAGGGTAATTTATTGACACAGCAGCCAATGCTCACACACTCCATTAACTCCCTGCCTTGCTGCACCCCAGAGGAGGTGCCAGTGGGAGCAGATGGAGGTTTCCAGGGAACAGAGGGTGATCAGAGGGGTGGCTCTGAGGGGAAAGGAGAGGGATAAAGCTCTGTCTGCAGGGAAACATCCTGGACTCAGCTCTGTGCCAGAAGCAGCATCCCTGCAGTGCTGTCCTGCAAGGGGAGCAGGAGCCAGTGCCTCTCTGACATGCTGCTCCTGCAGTGCAACGCTCAAACATCCCAGGAGACCTGCACTGCTGAGGAAAACCACCCTGACAGGGCAGAGCTGCCCCCAGCACGGTGAAATAGCTGTCTCCCTGGTGTATCAGGGCTCAGAGGAGCCCCGAGGCTGCTGCTCCATCCTCCTGCACCTCTGAGCCCCAGGATCTCCCCAGCATCTCCCCTGGGTGGGCAGGGAGGGGCTGTGTCCCTCTGCCCCCTCCTTCCCCTGCTGCCCCCTGTGACAGAGATAAACCCACATCCCAAAACTCCCCTTTCCCCTCCTCATTCTGATATAGCCTCGGGAAAGGCTGATTCATGGCTCTGAGGGGGTTTGCTCAGGGACGAGTGATGCCTTTCCTCCCTGGAGAGTCTTTCTCCTTTGCAAGGCACCCAGGAGGGTTTTGCAGTGCTGCCTGCAGGGGCTGCCATTCCCAGTCCCACTGCTGGGATGGGAAAGTGCCTGAAGTGAGGCAGATTTTCACTCATGGCATGGAAAAAAAAAAATCCAGTTGTTCCCAGAAACCCAAGGGTTTCCTAACAGCATTAATTTCTTCCAGCTCCAGATTTTGGCTGTAGAGAGGCCACCCCTGCCTGCCTCTGCCCTGGATCCACATCTTGCTCTCACACACTCAGCTCCTGAGCAGCCTCTGCTTCTCTTCTGTCCCCATGTCCCCTCAGACAGAGCTGCTGTCACCTTCCCCCTGTGACCCACAGAGCTGCTGCTGCATCACCCTCAGATGGGGCTCAGCATCCTCCTCACCCGCCCTGCTCCAAAAACCAGGGTGCATCACTAATTAGCCCAGCTAATTAGCAACTCTGGAGGATGAATCCACCCAGAGCAGGGGGCTGCATCCAGCCCCACTCCCAGCTCAGCTCTGGGCTGCAATTAGGCTGCAATCTTCCCTCAGGAGTGGAATTGGGGCTGACACATCCTGTTACCTCTCCCCTGGGCTGACAGGGGGGATGTGGGATCTCTGGTGATGGGGCACACACAGAGGGGTCAGGGCAGAGCAGAGAGGGGTGCTGGGGCAATGTGCAGCCCCCAGAACAGGGCAGGGCATCCCCCAGGCCCAGAGCCAGGACTGACCCCTGTGTGCCCCCGCAGGAGTGGGCAGACGTGTGCTGCAGGGGGCTCCGGAGTGTCCATGCCTACATCCTGGTCTATGACATCTGCTGCTTTGACAGCTTCGAGTACATCAAAACCATCCGCCAGCAGATCCTGGAAACGAGGTACGGATGGCTCTGGGGAGGTGGCAAGGGAGTTCTGCACCATGGGGGGCACATCCTGGCATCAGAGAGGAGATACCAGACTGGCACAATGCCCCTTTGGCAGGGATGGGAGCCCCAACACCAAGAGAGGAGCAGGAGCCCAGGCAGGCTCCTCTGAAGCCAGGATTCCTGGTCCAGCTGCTCCCTGTCCTGCTCCATGGAACCCAGGGAGGGACGGAGGATTCTCTGCTGCCAGCCCCAAAAATGAGCTGCAAAACGCCCAGCAAAGGCTCTGAGCAAATCCCTGCCTCATTCCTGACAGAATTCCCAGGAAAACAAGATTAGCTGCTTTCTGTAAGATTCCACACCAGCCGCACATCCAACAACACTTCACTTCACTTCACTTCACTTCACTTCACTTCACTTCACTTCACTTCACTTCACTTCACTTCACTTCACTTCACTTCACTTCACTTCACATCCACACCTCTCACTCTCACTCCAAGAGAGAAGAAACAGGGTTAAGGTTGGCAGAGCTCTGAGGAGCCTGGCTGGGATCTGGCTTTGATTCTGGCTGTTGATTTGTGCATTAATGAGCCAGGCAGGTGTCCCCTGTGGCTGAGCCCTGCGTGAGCAGCTGCAGGTGCCATGGGGGTGTCACCAGCTGGGGTGTTTGTACAAATCACCAACGGGACAAGACTGCTGGAATGTGCTTTGAGCTGTTTTATTTTCCAACATCAACCTCATTACATAATTATGACAATGAGAAGATGCCAGCAGCTCACATCTCAAGCAGAAAACCAAGAACTTAATGCTACAACTTACTTTATAATTTTTTGACCAATCACACAAAGCAAAAGCACATTGACAGGAGTTCTATCTAATCACTATAAGAACACGTACCTTTGGTTAAACAATGCTTGCCTATTTTGAATACAAGACCTACTTGTAAGCTTTAAAACACAATGCACAAAACTCCATTATTAAGCTTCAAACTTCCTAATATCTTGCTAGATAAACTTTTCTGGAAAGTTTAGCTTTCCAGAAAAGTTTATATAAATAGTTTATGTAAATAGCTTAGAAAGTTATTCTAGACAAGCGTTAATAGACACACCATTGTTCTATTTGTCCTTGCTTATCTACAGTTTAAATAACTTTTCTGCTGACCTATCTCATGGCTACTGCTTAGCTCTAATCACAGTTCTGCTGTCTCTGAAGCCTGCCTTTTGCAGCTTTCCCAAAACCCTCTGATTTTGTAGATTCCCACATGAGGGGTGGCTGGACACGGAGGGGAACAAGGGGACAAGGCAAGGCACAGCCAGGAGCCCTTTGGGGATGGGTTGAGCTCTGTGGGCTGTCCCTCTGTGTCCCTCCCTGCCATCCTCCCTCACCTCCCGCCCTCCCCAGGGTCATCGGCACCTCGGAGACGCCCATCATCATCGTGGGCAACAAGCGGGACCTGCAGCGGGGCCGGGTCATCCCGCGCTGGAACGTCTCCAACCTGGTGAAGAAGACGTGGAAGTGCGGCTACATCGAGTGCTCGGCCAAGTACAACTGGCACATCCTGCTGCTCTTCAGCGAGCTCCTCAAGAGCGTGGGCTGTGCCCGCTGCAAGCACGTCCACACCACCATCCGCTTCCAGGGCGCGCTGCGCAGGAACCGCTGCACCATCATGTGAGGAGACCCCTGCCCAGGGACCCCCC